CAATGTATAACCATTAAAAGATTTTCAACAACTTTTTTTTCTCCAAAGATTGGATATTGTTTTTTTTTACCAGATAATAGGGATTTTTGAGATTTATATATCAATGTTATCATACATTTATTTGCTTTAAAATGTATTTTGGAATAAAATAAACAAACTCGTGACTGTTTTTAATGTACCCCCTCACCATAAAGTACATAAATAAATTTACGACGTATTTTTTGGCAAGTCCGGATTCTGTCCGGATTTCAGGACTTAGGTACTTGTCCTGAATTTCAAAAAACCTTTATGGAAACCATGAACTCACCGAACGCATACGGATCGAGATGGCGAAAATATAACTCCGGAAATTATTGAAATAGATCGGGAAAAGTTGGCTCTATCAAGCTAGCGGGCACTCTGTGGCGGCACCATACAAGACCTGGTGGGTTTTTTGTAGCTTTTTTGTTACGCTATTTGCGAATTTGTAGCTTTGACCAGGTCCGAAAAAACAGCGGATCCGCTAGCTTGAATTTCCATAAATTCCATAGTAGCGGCACAGATTCAGACCCAGCTGGTTTTTCGTAACTTTTTTGTAGCTTTTTTGTTACGCTAGTCTCCCTTTTGTAGCTTGTACTGAACCTGAGAAAAGCGCGGATCCGCTAGCTTAGCGGATATTTTTAGCGGCACCAGCTCGGACCAGGCTCATTTTTTGTAACTTTTTTGTAGCTTTTTTGTTACGCTTGTCTCCATTTCGTTGCGAGGCCTGAACGTGAGTAATAATCGTTTCTCCATGAGCGTGAGAGAAAAGTGCTTTAATTAAAATCAAGTTTCAGCCTCTACAAGTATTATGTGCAACTCGATAGTGTGACTATCTGTTGATAGATGGCACCAGTATTGCATTTCACGAATTATGGCCATCTTCCATCCAATATATTTTTGAGAAATTTAGATATAATCCAAAGAAGTAGATTGATATAATCATTGATATAATCTCAAAATCGGACATTTGTTTTTAAATGTTTTTTAGTGTTGTTTATGTATTTATACTTTTGTTGAATCAAGAATATTCTTACATCTTCTTTGAATGATTTCCTTAACCAATCGTTTTGCAGTATTTATGGACCAGTGTTTAATTCTGTCGGATCACAACTATACAGTGTGTTCCATCTCAGACGAGCCACCCCGTATATTTCTTATCCCATAGTATTTGGAAAAATTTCCCGAAACACGTCGGATGATTTTCTTTGGGGGACATCTTTTGACGTAGGTATATTTGAGGCTTGAACCAGCAACCCCCTATTTTCAATTAAAAAAAAAAAAAATTACTTAACACTTAATTTGATAATAAACTCAAAATATTTAATTTTCAAAATAAAGTAGCTATCCAATAATAATGTTTATTTGTCAATTATATATAAACATTTAAATAATATAACTATAGGGACTGCATCATCTCACTGTGTTCTGTATACCTACATCACGAAGATTAAAAACCTTTTTAAAAACATAAAAAAAACCATTCATATATGGATCATTAGATTATATTTAATTCATACAAAAAATAAGAAAATACCTACATAAATGTACAAAAGTAGAGAGTATTTGAAAATAAATACATAATAAATAAGCGATGACAAAATAACAAACACACAAGAGGACTTAGCTGAAAGTTTTAACTAATTACTGTTAAAATAATTTAGCTTTTTAAAGGGAGTTTATATCATGAGATAATTGATTAATTTAAACTCTGCCTTCCTACTTGTTATAACACAAAAATTAATAGAATTCGCAGCTCTTGTATGGTACTGATGTATGTAAGAAATAGAAGTTGACAATTCAATACATTAATTACTATTTAAATAATAAAGGTCATTGCCTGCACATAGAAACTGTCCCATATTCAACCAGTTCAACGTAGTCAACATAAGCTGAATGCTATATCTGCTACATCCTAAAATAGCTCTCGTTGCCTTATTCTGAGAAAGCTCTCAAAAGTAGAGTTAGAACAACCTGCGTGTATATTATATATTTGGCATAGCTTGTATCCTAAAGATATAACTTGAGCATAGTTTAAACCATAGTGATTTGTAGATACTCAACCAAAAGTTATTCTTTACTACCATATTTGGATTTTTTTACATTCGATTTCCTTTCCTGCATTTTCACAATTTCTTTGCTTGAACTTCTAGAGGGTATAAATAAAAGTGTCCTTTTTATATAAATTGTTGCAATTTGCCTGCAAGAGTATATACTTATTCCTCTAGTAATATCTTTTAGAACTTCTATTTTCTTACATTTCTTTGTTATTACTTTATAGTTTCGTATCATATTTACAGCTGAAAAAATGCAAAATATAGGTAATATTAGATTGTTTAGCATCAAATATTTTTATATTACAAAAATAAAATGGCGAAAAATATCATAATATTAAGGTAAAATCATATGCACAGCTTTAGAAATAATTTAAAACCACTCACCTCCATGGAGGAAGGATAATTACTCACCTCTATTTCAAAATGTACTCGAAATTACAACTTTACTTTAAAGAAGTTTCTTGTATATTATTTAAAATAAATAAACGTTTCTTCTAGTACATTTGTTACCTTCACTTGAAATCTCAAAATATCAAGAGGTAGGCTACCAGTTTAACATTTTGGATAAATATGTGTTGCCTAACATAGTAGTAAAAGAGTCAAAATGGCCGCGCCCTATGTTGGGCGTGTCAGACCTCTTTTTAAAAGTATCTGTCCAATTAGTGACAGTTTAACATGCTTAAATGTCATTTAAAAGTACCCTAAATAACTCCGCTTTTGTCCCGCTCCTGCCCCTGACTAACCGAACTCGCCTTCTGTGTGTCGGTTTGTTCGTTGGCTTGGTTTTGTAAGTAAAACAAAAAAAACTTCGACACAAGCTGATTGGTCTATTCCCCGATGACGTATACATTTCAAATTTTAAATTTCAATTGGGCTTAATTTAAAAACTTTTGGCTTTTTTAACGAACTGATTATTTAGAATTACTTGTATAGCGACTAACTATTACAATATAATTTTTCTACACCCGTATTATAATAATGCACTTATATGCCCATAATCCGTTTCATAATGATACCCATTATGATACAGATTTTTCATTACGATACAGATTTTTCATTACGATACAGATTTTTCATTACGATACAGATTTTTAATCAATAGAAACCTACAATTTTTCAATCAAGCATGCTGTTTGACGTTTGTCCTAGGTTCCTATGTATTTGTTTTAGTTGTCAAAACGTATTAAATTTTGGTAGATAACTAAACTTCGTTAATTATAATATTAAAATGTCTGATATCAGCGATATAGAAGTCTCCTCCACACATATCGGAGAAAGCAGAAAATACAGTACAAAATATTTTGCCGCAAAAATCTAGGGAAATACCAATACCCGAAGTAATACCATTAATTACAATTTTGTAGAATTTTTTATAGAAATACACGAGTAATTATTGTTATTGTGTTCAATACCAATATGAATATAATATTTATAGTTCTTGATTATTTATCGGGTGTAGAAAAAATAGCGTATGCAACTCTCATGTAATGGTTATTAATACATACACTCGCATAAACCATACGAAACTCGCCTTTGGCTCGTTTCGTATCCCGGTTAATGCTCGTGTATTAATAACCATCATTACATGATCGTTGCATAATATACTATTATAAAACAGCATATCTCACATGTGAACATGGCCCATTACTATGGGATACTACTATACGGATTGGCTCGTCTGAGACGGAACACCATGTATATAGTGAGAATAGGTAATTGCTTGGTAGCTATTACCACCGGTGTGAAGTTGGCAGTAAGTTTTTAGCAGTAAAAATAACCGAAAACACCCGATCGGGAAAATAGTGGCGTCCGGCATACAACTATTTTAATAATCTTGTCAATATGTATTTTACATTAATATCGAACAAATAATTAATATACATACCGTTGAAAATGTCCGATTTTGAGATTATATTTAAATTTCTCAAAAATATATTGGATGGAAGATGGCCATAATTCGTGAAATGCAATACTGGTGCCATCTATCAACAAATAGTCACACTATCGAGTTGCACATATTACTTGTAGAGGCCGAAACTTGATTTTAAATTAACGCATTTTTCTCTCACGCTCATGGAGAAACGATTATTACTCACGTTCAGGCCTCGCAACGAAATGGAGACAGGTGTAACATAAAAGCTACAAAAAAGTTACAAAAAATGAGCCTGGTCCGAGCTGGTGCCGCTAAAAATATCCGCTAAGCTAGCGGATCCGCGCTTTTCTCAGGTTCAGTACAAGCTACAAAAGGGAGACTAGCGTAACAAAAAAGCTACAAAAAAGTTACGAAAAACCAGCTGGGTCTGAATCTGTGCCGCTACTATGGAATTTATGGAAATTCAAGCTAGCGGATCCGCTGTTTTTTCGGACCTGGGCAAAGCTACAAATTCGCAAATAGCGTAACAAAAAAGCTACAAAAAAGCTACAAAAAACCCACCCGGTCTTGTAAGGTGCCGCCACAGAGTGCCCGCTAGCTTGATATAGCTGGAAAAGTTAATTACTTATCTATTTCCACTATTTGTCAATAACAAACGAAATAGGATTTGTTTTTTTCATGCAAATTTACTTAGATATTTTGTTGCCATGTATCTAAATAATGGACGTCATGTTTTTATTTAAAAAACAATTTGATTATTAAACTTGTGGTTTAATCATAAAAATTCTCTGTTAATCTTTATTCTGGCAACAAACAATGCTTTTCATTTACGACACATAGATAGAAAATGGCGTTTAATAAATACTCTTGGAGACGATTATCTCCATCTTTCGGCAATATTCATTACCACGTAACAGGAAGTCTCCCGACGATCTAACGTCGCGTGATGGCTGCTGCCACCTGCCGTTCGATTCTCAAGTTTATGACGCAATCGCACGTGCTAGTTGGGTTGTCGACGATCAGGCGCAACTTTAAGGCAGTTTTATTTGAATGTTCAAATCGCGGTGAGCCTGACTGACTGCCTGCCAATGTTGTTCCGTGTGGCCGTCACATGCGCTAATATTTAAATTAGAACAATACAATAAAATGTCCATTTAATTGAACATTAATAACATTGTTTGAAAAGTGTCGTGCGCGTGTTTCTGTTAATATGATCCGAGCCAAGAAGACCTAAAGGTAATTTAATTTTTCGTTGTCGAGATGTATGTTGGGATGTTGTTTTGCGAAGTTGTTTTTAAAATTGGATTAGATATTTACATTCGTAGTATCAAGAAAGTAATCTTTGTAAACGATGATTTATGAGTGTCTTTTACGTATTTCAATGCTGGAATTGAGATAACTCTTGTGATTGTGGACTGATGAATTTGATTTTTTTTTTGTTCATTCAAAATATTTTTAGTTTTAGTCAGTAGCGCGGACGAAAATTGACAAAATGGGGGGAAACTGAAACGTAATATTTTAACGATGTGGTATTTTTAGATAAGTACTTAGTTGTTATGTGGGAAAAATAAATTACATTTAAAATAGTGCCCAAAGTTATTTTCTAAATATAATGTAGTGAAAAATGTAAATGTCAAAAAAAGATAAATAATTTTTAAGCAAGAGAAAAATACAAAATAAAGAATACTGAAAATTTTAATCACAGGTTTCAAAATATTATTTTTTTAAATAACATATTTTGGTAAATACTTATTTTACATATTCTGACAATTCATAATTTTTTATAATTGTAATGTTATTCCTATACCTACTTACCTACCTAAAATTAACTCACCTACTGATTAGTCAATTAAGGTTTAGGTATAATAAACCGCCTATTAGTATTATCGAAAATATTGAAGAATATTTTAAATTAGAAAATATACCTTAAGAGCAAACCGAACACCTTAAACATTTTTAATTCCTTTTGAACATCAAGTACGAATGTCAATGTCAATAGCAATAGCTCATTATTTTGGATTTTCTGATGCATATACCAACTTTATGAAATCTTTTTTTGAAGCGACAGATAGAAAAGTGTACAGTTAGGTGAAAACAAGTCGCAAAAAATCAAATTATAACTAGGAGTCCCTCAAGGCAGTATCTTCGGTTCACTATTATACACTATGTACCTATATTAGTAACTTTCAAAACTCTAAAACACTGCGACTACCACTTTTATGCTGATGATACAAAAATATGAAAATTTAACAGGATGACCGTTGAGAATATGGCAAAAATATATTCTCGTTAATCAAATATTGACGGGTATATAACCCTGTATTGTCCTATTTTCTAGAAAATATTTAATTAGAAAATTAGACAATTCCGGCTAAAACGTCGAATAATATTCAACAACTGATCGTACCTATTGTAATTTCACTTTTGTTTTGAATAAATCAGATTGATTTAAAAGTTTAGCACTTAGATATTTATTTTTAATTTATTTACCTATCAGAATCAGAACTGACGGTTGCTTTAATTAAATCTGTAAACAATTCAAATTAATCCAACATGCAAAAATACAGTAATATTTTATTACAATTTTGATAATATCTATATATGTAGATCAAGTGGCTCATGGGTCTACAATTTTATTACACATTAATCACCGTTACGTGATAGTTGCATACAATTTTTTATACGACCAGCTATACAGATTTTTAATTCATTTGGAAATTTTGACCTTTTTGGTTGTCATAATGTTCATAAGTGCTTGTAATTTGGCACATTTGAATTTAGCAATGTGATGTTATAATGTTTGACAAAAAAGTAATATAGCTACAGGTTTATATTTATTTTTGAATTTTATTTGTATCTATGATATTTATTTGAAAATTATCCTACCCAAGTCTAAATGAGTATTGACTCATTTGTCGCGCTAATGGACTAATGATCAATTATTTACAATTGTTCAAACATTCATATACGAGTATACTCGTACTTTGATGTCGTCAAATAAATAGAGGTAACAATCAAAATACAGGGTACTCCACGCTCAACGGGACGAAGCCTGTGTGTAAACTACAAAATATATTGAAAATTCCTTTGGCACATTTCTAAAGTTCAGTGGCGGCCAGTGGCGGCTCGTAACCAAAATTTTGGGAGTTCACAGTGACAGAATCTAGATATCAGTACAGATATATAAAAAAAACTTTCGGTGTTTTAGAAGGTTTACAATATACCTTTTTAAAACACTCACAGTTTTTACCTATATCTGTACCGACATCTATATCCTGCTACTGTGAATCACCAACATTTTGGTCACGAGCCGCCCCTGGTGGCTGCTACAACTTAAAATTTGTTTCATATCTACAGAATGTCGCATACCAAAATTCCAATATAAAGTTATATTTTTTTAAAATGTTTTTTTTTTTAATTTTAATTTTTTAAATATTTTAATGATTCTGATAAAAAGTTACACTATTTTGTAAGGAACTGCCAAACATTCGTTAATTAATTATTTTGTAATCAAGAGTAATTAATTAATTTCAACAACACTACATTTTTAAAAAATGTCAAATGAATCGGAAATTATCAAAGATTATATTTAAATATCAAAGATTATATTTAAATATATCAAAGATTATATTTAAATATAATCTTTGACAATTTCCGATTCATTTGACATTTTTTGAAAATATAGTGTTGTTAAAATAATTAATTACTCTTGATTACAAAATAATTAATTAACGAATTTTTGGCAGTTCCTTACAAAATGCTGTAACTTGTAACTTCTTATCTGAATCATTAAAATAGTCAAAAAATGTAGTGGAGTTTGCAATTTGAAGTTTAATTACGTTTTATTTAATTACTACGTTAATTTAAATTGCACATCCTGTATTTTATAGAACCAATATGAAGGAAATTTTATTTACTTTAAAAGTTCTATAAGGTTCACTATATCCATCTTTATTATTTTTGGACATATTATATCAATAGTTTTTATGCATCAATAAATTTCAATCGTTTACTAATAATCTCATATTAAAACACATTTATTTATACCGAAATTTTCTAATAAATTAAAAATTTATAATAATTGTTCTAATTAATACCTAAAATAAAAAATATCTTTTAAATGTTTATTTTCATTGTTTAAAATCTTCAAATATATTACAAGTACTGATTTTTATAACCTCAGCGGTTTTCGGTGGAAATTGGAAAATTTAATATGATCAAGAACAAATTTATTTTTTTTTCAAATTACCTGAAGGTCCCACTAATTTCTAACTTATTATTTGAAAATAAATGATATCAAAAATTTTATGACCCAGGAGATAAACCCCAATATAACATCATGAATTTCTAAAATTAAATGTTTAGCATTATTTGTTCCAAAATAAAATCTTTGGTTTTCTTCCTAAATTTTTAAAATTACCAATTTATTTCAATTCTTATCTTAAATTTTCTTGTCAGTTTAATCAATAAAAAGTAAGTATGTCATCTCTATAGGTAGAAAATATTTACAATGTAAGATCAATTTAAGTAGACCTCAACTTTCTTAGAAAGGATTAAAATTTTTAATCGGTAGAAAGTGTTATGCAGATTGTAAATAATTTTGTAGTTTATTTGAAAATGCATTGTAGTACAGTTTTTATGGCAAAGGTATATATTCAGGATTATTCAAAGTAGAAAACAAGTAAATATTGATACCTTCTTATCTCAATTTTCACTAGATTTTAGTAAGGTGGTAATCGCAACTTTAACTCCATGTTCTTTTGCTATTTCAGCTAAAATATACTTCTTAAATTTTGGTGAATGTTTACATAACTGCAATAGCTCTTTTTTAAGTAATCCCTCTTCTGCCACTATTTCTTTGGTTATTAGCCAATCGGAGAGTTCTTGCTTTTTCCATTATGTATTAGGTAACGGTTCCTTTAATCTTTAATGGTAACTGGCATTGTCCATAACTATTACAGAATAGGTCGGTAATAAATCTATCATTTGACTGAAATATTTCTCAAAACCATCAGTAGTCATTTGTTCATGGTAGTCTTTCGTAGAATTTGAAACAAATTCTAACAAGCATCTATCAACAAATCCTTTATCTCTTCCAATATGAGTGTTAATTAAAAGGCAGCCTTTACCACTTGGAAATTTTAAGCCTACAGAGCTGTGATACCTATTTAGCAAATGTACTTTAAGTAACCAGTATTAAGTAATTTAAATTCCAAATCTACTTACAATATTAAGTATAAGTATTTTATGAAAGTACTTGAAATGTTAAGTATTTTATTTAAAACAAATAATTCAAGTATAAATAGCAAGTACATACTTTAAAAATACTTAAAGTAAATTCACCTACTAAAGTAATTCTAAGTACTGAAAATATGTCAAAAATACTTAAAGTACTTTTAAAGATTCAGTATTTTGAAATACTAATTACTTAAGTCATGTTTTAAATTAAAGATCCCCTCTTGAGTTATCAACTTAAAACTCAACACATACCGCTTTGTATAAATTAATAACGTACACTACTATTCCGTTTAGATACGACCAATAAAAATGGCCATCCAATATGGTTGTATGTGTATAACATACAATATACAAAGTATACTTGATTCATTAAAATAATTGAAATCTTGAGTTTTACTCGTCGATTTTGTTACATTGTTACTTGTTAGATGATGACATGATGATATAAATTATGTATTTAAACTCGTGATAGATGTTTTCATATCATCATGACTATGGAGATCATGACTTACAAGAATCATTGTTTGTTGCTCATATACGAGTAAATAAAAAACTCATCTATTCATATTTCAATATCTTTTTTATTCGTCTGAACGGGTAACATAAAGAAGTCAAAGTCATAAACGTAACACGTAACACATAACATGAGAATATGAGTACGAGAATAACAACACAAGTACATAGATATTGTTTTTCAAGAATAACATTATTTTTAAGTAGGTACCTAACCGAAATACATATTATTAGGATTATAGTATCGGATACTTTGAAAAAACAACAAAATAAATAACTAATACGTTTCCTAGAATACGTGTTTGTTACTTTTGAGCAGTACCAACTTTTCAAAGTTGGTATCACTTAACGCATGACGTCTAGGAGCATTAATTATTTCGACGAAAGAAAATAATCGTCCCACAGTTATACTTTATAAATAACTGTTTAACAATATTGTATTCGTTCAGCATTGAAAAGGTGGTCCTTTCAGGTATTTGATGAAT